GTATGACCTGAGTAATTGAGGCATTTATGGCAGCATCGCACATAGTTTTCTTAATATAATCATAATCATGAGGTTTTGTGATTATTTGACTTTCTATATCTTCTAATCCTAATGTTTTTTGAGATATAATATAGCAAATACCATCACTTCTAATGCATTTAGGCCACATAAGACATTCCAATATATATCTAATGTTATATCAAAATTATCATTGGTATTTAATGCTTCATTAACATTAATACCAATCATAAGACATTTTCTAGTTTCAAGAGGTTGGTTCTTGACGGATACGATATAATCTTGAACAAGTTCGCACATTTTAGAGAACATAATACAGTAGTATCTATGTACCGCTTTGCCAAATAAGATTATGAGAATCAGCCTATTACGTTCTGTGTTACTTCCTAAATTGATTTTCATGGTGTCGTAATACGATCCAGTAGGTTACTTGATTTAATCATATATATCAACCTGAACCGACACAGCATTTTCTTTATGCCAAAATACTATAGATGTTACATCTTCCATAGGATGTGCTGATGTTCTTATATAAGGTACGGCATCAGTGAAATTAACCTCGTCTCCGTTAGTGTTAAAAATACATTGATTGTGTGATAAGACACCCTGGAAATCACTGATCATATTAAGACCAGATTGTTCGGTGAAAATTGCTTGCTGTCCTAACAATAAATCATTATCTCCATCAATATCGTCATCTGAGGAGATTCGTTTAGCACTGTGTCTACTTTGCCTCCAACAAGGAGGGATTTATCGACCTTACAAAAAGAACTATACTGCGGACTCGAAGTTTTCTCACTAGATGATTCTTATAAAAAAGAGAAGTCTGACTGTAGTTCGCCCTACTCTTAAAATGTAGAGTACAGGATTTTTCAATTTGAATTTTTTTGTAAAAGAAAACACCTGCGTTTAAATATTAAACTCGTTCAATTTTGCAATCCGCAACTTCATCAATGGATTCAATACTCATGTGATGCTAGAAAATTAAAAATCACATCGTTTTGCATAGAGATAATGCATAAACTAGTAGCATATCGAAAGTAAATTTCTTTAATTATCGATTTTAATAACGTGAAGGCTTTGGTAATATATAAAGAATTATTTATACATATGAGGTAAACCATTATTGTTCTATATAAAGTGATTGAGATCTTTAGTCTTTACACTCTTATAGAGACAAAATACACGTAACATATTGAAATCAATTATTATTGGCAACAATAAAATTTACTTTTGATGCGCTTCTTGATGTTACGCTAACTCTAAAGATTATAGTTTGAAGAGTTCAGAATTCTCTGCATAGAAACAATACGCCAAAAATAATATATACTTATCAGCAACTATTTTATGCATATTGCAATAAACCACAACTGATCTTAGCATATCTATTCCATATAAAGTGATTGAAGTTTTTAGGCTTTTGTCTCTATTGGTAAAAAAATCCGAAAAGTACATACGTACATCGATCTATTTGGGCATGTAAACATGCTATTAAATAATATGCAAGATTTTGTACATAGCCAACTACCTGTAAATTATACACTACGTTCTTGGCATGTACAGTACGTACAAATTGTGTGTTATTAACTTACTAATTCTCCCAATACTGTATTGGTGCGACCTATAGCATGAGTGCTTTTGTTAATATGCTCGACACACTTCATATGCGAGTAACTCGAATATCCTTGGCCAATGCAGGTGCTACTGATATTACCCAGAAGCAATTTTGTGTACTGTTTATAAATACTGTGAGACCCGAAAACCGTGATCGATCACGTGAAAAATGCACGAAATGCAAGAAGTGCAAATACTTACTGACGACTGTAAATCGGCGAGTCTGTCGCTAGTCGATCCGAAGCGTCGTGTAACCTACGAACGGCTTAGTCGAGAGAGGCGTTTAGATTTGGCGAGTGGTGATTTTGGGTCTTAGGTATAACTTATTCTGGCTATAAGAAGGTCTTATAATATGTCCTAACACTTATAATTTCTATCCACAATAATTTCACAAATCACGGCTTGAGATCTTCCACGAAGACTTAAGACCGGAACTTGACAACCGCAGAATCCACGGTCCGTCGGAAAACTGGAAAAACAACCACAACTATCTTCAGTCCGTCGAGACAGTTGGAAAATAACACCACGGCTGCTCTCAGTACGTCGAGAATCAACCGGACAGGGTTTCGATACAATTGACGATTATCACGTGAGCAAGAAAACAATGATCGTTCTACTTATGCCACTTAAGTAGTAGATCAGGGTGTAAGTATTTTATTTATCGAATATATAGGGTAAGGAATTATTAGGAACGAAGTTTTTATGAATCACGAAGGATTGTTTTCCCTCAAGGGCGAGAGGCCTTTATTATATACTATTCTTATTTTATGACTTATTAAAAGTCTTATTCGTGATATATCATTTTATCTAGTAATTACATGCAATTTATTTAATCTTGCTATCACCCATTAATCATATAATTAACCAATATCCGTATTATCTTTTATTTCTTTATTTACTTATTTTCCACATTTTCCACGTTTTCTATTCTTTCCACCGGTAAACCTATCTTTGGTAAATGATCTACATAACCGCTGTGCGAGTTTCCTTAGAGTTTCCTTATGGTTGAGCCTACGCCACACCGTCCTCAAATCCTTCACGTGCTTCCGGACTTCAGTTCTACTGATCACATTACATTTATGATCGAAAAGGGTATTTCGGATACGTAGGGGTAGATAGAAAATAATGAAGGGATATCTGTACAACTAAATATCCTTAAAAATGTTAAGGAAGGTAAACATAAACGATTTTATATGGCTTATTCAATATTAAATGTGAAATTGCATTTGTAAGAGACGAAATTGAGTAATATAAATAAAGGCCAAAATGGCCACGAAGGGATCATGCTTCGTTTGCTTTCCCAAACCCTACAAACTTCATAAAACCTCATGATTATGATTATATTAAGAAAACTATGTGCGATGCTGCCATAAATGCCTCAATTACTCAGGTCATAC